GAGGGGGGGTGCTGGGGGGGACCCTTCTGCTGCAGCATCACCCACCGTGGGGCTCAAAGGCGGTGGCAGGGAGGCAGCGTGTGCCCAGGCTGCGTACATGGCTCCATGATGGAAACATCTCTCGTGCAAGGCAGAGGATCCCAGGGCTGGGGTCAGGAGCGGGTGGGGGTGCCCCTGCTGACCGGGCTCTCCCGGCATCTTGCAGAGGCCGCGTACGAGCGCACACTGACCGTGGATGGCGAGGAGACCACGCTGCTGGTGATGGACTGCTGGGCACCCGAGCAGCGGGTATGGTGGGGCCAGGGGACTGGGGCTTGCCCAGGGGAAACTGCATAGGCACAGCCACTGCTTTGGGACCTCTGAGCTCCATCAAACTCCCTTGGGCACCCCTGGACATGTCCAGAGCTTGCCACACTGCCCTCGCTGCAGAATGGGGGACACATGTTGGACAAGATGGGCTGGGGTAAGGTCTCTGGCCGGATCTTTGCTCATTTTCACCACTGTGGGCAGCTGCCCACCATGTCCTTGCTGACAAGGGCTCTCATGGCAAGCACTGGAGCAGCCGTGTGGGCACAGAGTGGGCAGAAGGGGCTGTGGGGAAGGAGCGTGGTGCCAGCCAGCTTGGAAATGCATGGAAATCATTTGGGAATGGAGCTGAAGGAGCCAACCGGGTAAATCCACGTGAGATGGTGCCACCAGCCAGGACATGTGCTTTGTCAGGCAGAGCTCTGGCCTGGGAGTCAGGCATGGGGCATTCCTTCCACCTGGTGCACAGAGGCATCTCCTGGGCAGCAATGCCAGTGCCACTGTCACTGCCTCCCTCAGATCACCCCTTTGGCCTCTCCAAGCCAAGGCTCAGCATTCCTGGAGGTCCCACCAGGCCATGATCGGTCCCTGCCATTACTTGAATGAGGGTGGCTCCAGGAAGTGCAGCCTCAGCCCCACAGAGCCCAGCTGAGCCCCATTTATTGCTGATAGAGGAGAAAACTCTCAGACACCCCCCCAAAATCCAGAGCTTTTAATCTGCATTTTATTAACTGGGCCACATCTCTGCTCCCCACGACGTGGGGGCCGGTGGGGTGTGCTGGCAGGTCCCGCGGGTGCCAGGGTGCTCTGCTGTGCCCCGGCAGCTGTCAGGGCTGCCACCAGCCCCTGTGGGGCAGTGACATTTCGTTCCTCGTGGGGTGACAGGGCGAGGGGAGCTGGCGCCGCACCCAGTGCCTGCAGGTGGGGAACGCCTACGTCCTGGTCTACTCCATCACCGACCGGGGCAGCTTCGAGAGCGCCTCAGAGCTGCGCATCCAGCTGCGCCGCGCGCGGCAGGCCGAGGACATCCCCATCATCCTGGTGGGGAACAAGACGGACCTGGTGCGGTGCCGAGAGGTCTCCGTGGAAGGTGAGCAGCTGGGAACTGGGTGGTGGGGACCCCAAAGGAGGACTCTGCGCTCGGGCTTCAGGCGCGGCTGCGTCTGTGGCGTTTGTCCCCTCGTCCCTGGAGGTGCAGCCGCGTCCTGGCTCGTGGCAGCGCCCCGGGTTCCAGCGGGGCCGTGTCCCCTCCTTGCCCTTCCCTTGCAGAGGGCCGTGCCTGCGCCGCTGTGTTCGACTGCAAGTTCATCGAGACGTCGGCAGCTCTGCAGCACAACGTGGCCGAGCTGTTCGAGGGGGTGGTGCGGCAGATCCGCCTGCGCCGCGGGGGAAAGGAGCCCCACGCGCGCCCCGCGCCCGGCCACAAGCGCAAGGAAAGCCTCACCAAGAGAGCCCGGCACTTCCTCGACAGGCTGGCGGCCAGGAACAGCAGCAAAGTGGCCCTCAAAGTCCGCTCCAAGTCCTGCCATGACTTGTCCGTGCTCTGAGAGCCGCTGCCTTCTCCCCTTCCCTACGCGCACAGCCTGGGCCTCTCCTCTCTGCCAGTAGCGTGGCCAGTGGCTCCGTGGAGAGCACAGACAGGGCCGGATTGATGCTGAGGACATGGAGCCATTCTAACTGGTGCTGAAGGATACCCAGGGTGCTCTGGATCCAGCCACTTCCCCTACAGGATGGGGGGGCAAGTGGGTCCCCTGGGCTGCACCCGCGGAGCAGAGGGTGGGGCAGGAACCTGCTCTTGGTGGGATCTTGGATGCTCCTGGGGAGCTGAAGGTGAGGGATGGCCACGTCCTGGTGCAGGAGCTGGGAGCACGGCCAGTGCCACTCATGGTGCCCAGCAGGGACCATCAAGGGCACCATCACGATGTCCCATTCAGGGACATCCTGGAGCCTGGCCAGGGAGAGGAGCCAGGGGAGCACTGGCAGCACTGCCTTGTCCCCCCCGGCCTCTCTGTGCCAGGGCTTTGTACCACATCTCCCTGGCACCAGCGCTTCTCAGACTGAGGTTTTTCTGCTGTCCCTGCACTGGTGCCATGGGGAAACCCTCCATCTGCAGAATAAACCACCTCAGGGAGGTGCTTGTCCCTGCTCTGCCGTGGGGAGCCACTCAAGCCCAATTCCTTGCTCATGGCTGGAGCAGAAGACCTGCTCCAGCTCCATCTTCCAAAATATCTCTGGGCCGGGAGCGCGTTCATCCCCCTTTGACAGAAGTTTCTATTCCTAAATCAGCTGTGACAGCATCATCCCCGGTGATGGCAGAAGACCCCGACCTTCCCTGCACCTCCTGGCTCCCGGTTGGCTCCGGAAAAGCCTCTGGAAAGGTCGAAGCTCTGCTGAAATGCACGTCCCAGGCCCCGAGCACCGTGGGAGCCGCAGGGAGCAGGGCCCTGGGTGGGTCCGGTGCCCGGGAAGGGGCAGGGAGAGGCAGGAGCTGAGGCACAGCCGGGAAGGGACGTGCTTGGCTGCAGCTCCGGGAGCGACCCCGGGCACCCGGGGAGGCGACGCTGGAGCCGCGGGGGCCCTGCCGG